TCCCGCCCCCCCCCACCCACAGCAACCCCTCCCACCCACCCACAGCAACCCCTCCCACCCTTCACCCCACGCACTCAATACCCCTCACTCTTGCCCTGCCTCCTCCTCCCCGCCGCCCCCGGTCCCTATTTACCTTGCCGACGGAGCTCTGGGAGGTTCGACCCCCGCCGCCGCCGGGCCTCCGCTGCAGTTCGGCCAACTGCCCCCGGAGCGTCTCCTTCTGGTGGAAGGAGAAGGCCGGGTGGTTGGAAGCCATGGTGAGCAGCAGCAGGAACTCCTGGACGCCGCGCTCGGAGAGGGGCAGCGGGCCGCGGGCTAGGGCGCGGGCCAGCACGGCGGCCGCCTCGCGGTTCTCGGAGCCCAGCAGCGCCAGCGACACCACCAGCTTGCTGCGGGTCACCTCGTCCCGCGGGTCGCCGATGCCGGCCAGGTCGGCGGCGCTGTTGGCGCGGATCTCCGAGTCGCGCAGCGAGTGGTAGTCCTTGCGGGCCAGGTCCTCCAGGCAGGAGCCCAGGAAGCGCAGCTCCAGCGGGTGGCACAGGTCGAGCAGGCCGCAGCAGAACTCCAGGCGCTGGGCCGAGGTCAGGGCCGAGCCGAACCACTCGTACACTCCCTCCTTCCAGAGCTCGGAGAGCGGCGGCGGCATGGCAGGAGCCGCTTTCCCTGCGTCCTCCTCCTCTTCGTCCTCCTCCTCCTCGTCCTCGGGATCGGGGTCGGGCAGCTTCATCAGCACCTTCATCTTCATCGTCATCAAGTTAATGCGAATAACGCACACCCACCCCCCCCACACACACAATCCCAGGGGAAAAAAAAACACACAAAATAATTAATTAATCAACTGGAAATGGCCACCGCCGCCAACATCCCCTCATATATTTTTAGACCCAGCCGTTGATTTTATTCCGTTGGGTTTTTTTTTCCTCTCTTTCTCCCCTCAGTTTATCTCCAGCTTGAGAATGGCAGCGGAGAGCCGACTGAATTTAAAGTCTCCGCCTCTCTTCCCCCACCACGGCCCGTCTCGTCGAACCCCGCCCCCATCCTGTCAATCACCAAACCGTGCCCCGCCCCTTATGCCAATCACTCCCTCATGTCAATCACTCATCTTGCCCCGGCCCCCCCCACGATGATCACCGACCGTTTCAGTCACTCACCGAGCTCCCGCCCCTCGTGTCAATCACTCGCTAACCCCGCCCCGCACGCCCACCACACACTCTAACCCCGCCCTCGTGTCAATCACACACTGATCCCGCCCCGCACGCTGATCACTCGCTGAACCCCGCCCCTCCAGTCTGTGAGTCGGCGAGATGTATAGCAGCGAAACAGACCCTTCGGTCTAGCTCATCCATGCTGACCAGATATCCTAAATTCATCTAGTCCCATTTGACACATATCCCTTTAAACACTTAATAAAAACCGAAAGTACTGCGGATGCTGTAAATCCTCAGAACCGGAGGAAGCATCACCGGACCCGAAACGTTAAAACTTTTTTTCCTTCACAGGTGCTGCCAGACCTGCTGAGCTTTTCCAGCAGCTTTGTTTTTGTCCCTTTAAACCCTTCTTCGTTATGTATCGTGACTTCGCCTAACGAAGGAGCAGCACTCCCAAAGCTTGTAATTTCAAATACATCTGTTGGACCATAACCTAGTGTGTGTGACTTATGTATTCATGTATCCACTCATATACCTTTTAAATGTTGCAATTGTAGCAGCCTCCACCACCCCCTCTGGTAGCTCATTCCATACATGCACCATCCTGTGCATGAAAAGTTGCGATCCCTTTTAAATCTTTCCCCTCTCACCTTAAACTTATGCCCTCTTGTTTTGGACTCTCCTACCCTGGAGAAAAGACCTTGGTTAGTCACCCTATCAATGTCCCTCATGATTTTATAACCTCTATAATGTCACCCCTCAGTCTCCGATGCCCCAGGGAAAATAGCCCCAGCCTATTCAGCCCTATAGCTCAAACCCTCCAACCCTGACAACATCCTTGTAAATCTTTTCTGAACCTTTTCAAATTTCATAACTTCTTTCCTATTGCAGGGAAACCAGAAATGAATACAGTATTCCAAAAGAGGCCTAACCAATGTCCCGAAAAGCTGCAACATGACCTCACACAATTCCTTCTTCAATGCACTGACCAATAAAGGCAAGTGTACCAAATGCCTTCTTCCTGTCAATCATACCCAGCCTCCTGTCAACTAAACCCTGCCACCAAACCACACCCTGTAAATGATCAGATGACCCAAATCCTGTCCTACTCATCAATCATCAGCTCCCAAACCCCAACTCACCTAATCAATAAACAGACCCCAAACCCTGACACTTCCATCAATGACTCACTCAAAATCCCCTGTCTCTCCTGTCAATTATCCATCCCTTAACCCCGAGCACTCTGACCCTTCTCTTCTCTCTAGCTCTTCAATGAAAGTCACCCAATTTGGTTCTGACCACAAGGATATTTGGGTTGCACCCACCACTAAACCAACCCCTGGCATCTGCTTGTCAACCCAGCACTGTGTGATTGTTTCCCCCATCCAAATTTTCAAGGCAACGCTCACTTCTCCTAACCCTTGCAAATTTTGGTCCACGGAGGAGGATTAGAGAAGTTATTGCATTAGAGGAGTTATTTTCATTCAGTGGATATCAGAGATACGGAATTCACCACCTGAAAGGGCACTAGAGGGATGAACCCTGGTCAAATTTGTAGAACAGTTTGATGTGTACTTAAGGTGTATTACAGGGCTATAGACCAAGAGCTGGAAGAACAGGGATTGAGCTGAGAGATTTTCTTCACTGCTACTGACACAATAGGCAAAATTAGCTCCTCTTGTGTCTTTAATCTTTTTAGTGCTTCAGTGTTTCTCAATCTTCCTTCAATAAAAGGGGGAGGGTACCTGCCATCAAAATTCAGTGGGGGGGGTGGGAGAAAATAAACATAGAATTGGAACTGGAGTAATTCAAAGGGTCAGAAAGAACTTTTTCCCACAGAGGATAAATTACTAAATTATAATCCAGTAGGGTGGAGAAGAACATCAGAAGTTTCTTCCTTCTCTTCTTATATCTTTGTTGCCTGAGGGTTGCTAATGATGGTTATGTCATGACATCACTGTGGGACAGGCAACAAGGACTACTTCAGACAACATGGGTATTGAACCCATGATTGATGTTGTTCTGAATCACAATCTAGTCATTTGGCTAGCTGAAGTGGATAACCCCCTTGAATAAAAGGTCCAACATGGATTAATGCCATTTCCTAATTTGACCATCAAAAAGTTTTCTTATACTTTCTGTCTAACATATTAGCTTTAATCATAAATCTATGGCCTCTCTGTTTTAGGCCTCTCACTCGCTGTCTATCTAAAGTTATAATCCTTTGATAACTCCAATGTCCAACCAGAAATCACCAAGCAATTTCCTAACAGCCCAATTTTTCAAATACGTCTCAGTGTTCTTTATATGCTTTCACAATTTAATGAATCTGTACCCTCTCTCCCTATTTCCTCAACATATTTTCTATATGAAACCCAAAACTGCATAGTATTCTAACTTGGCTCTTACTAAAATTGATCTCTATCCCTTGAATTTTGTAATGCATCGTTTTTGACACAAAACACTGCATTCCATTAACTTTTAAGTGATCAAGCCACTTGAGGCACTGTTTGTGAATCTTAAATCCCAAATTCTTCTCCATTTCATCATAAGCTTGCCACATTCTATGATTTATTTTCAACATAAGAATTGTTGCAATCCATTGTGGGTGGCATAGTGGTTCAGTGGTTAGCACTGCTGCCTCACAGTGCCAGGGACCTGGGTTTGATTCTACCCTTGGGTGACTGTCTGTGTGGAGTTTGCACATTCTCCCCGTGTCTGCATGGGTTTCCTCTGGGTGCTCTAGTTTCCTCTCACAGTCCAAAGATGTGCAGATTAGGTTGCCTGGCCAAGCTAAATTGCCCATAATGTCCATCCCACTAGATCTGAGTGGGATGCATTTTGGAGGGTTTGTATGGGCTGAATGGCCTGCTTCCACACTATCAGGGATTCTATGATCAGCTGTTTGTTTTGTACAATGTGATGATAGGACACTATAGTTTATTCTCACTTGTGGGGAAAGGGCACCTCCAATTTTATCTTTAATACAATAGAGTGCGGAAAGGAACCTCTAATTTATCTGTAATTGATGAGGTGTGGAAGGGCACCTATTCTTTGTTTTTTATACAGCAAGTTGGGATTTAATAGTGCAAGGGAAGAAATAATTCATTATAATAAAGTTTTGTTTTCGGTTGTTGAACAATCCTTTTTTGGAAGGCTAGAAATGTGAGTTTCAGTTTCATTTCCTGAGAAATGAAAAGCAAAGACTGGGACAAACAGCTGATGAGAGATCAGCTAAAGCAAAAACAGACTTTTTCATGGCATCAAACAGGTAGGAATTTTAACTCCCAGGCTGATGGGAGGTGGGATAAATTCTGCAAAAAAATTTGCAAACTGACCCCATCCTGCAATGAAGCCAGACAGAAAAGGGTCAGTAATTTTAGTATGCTAATGAGGCTCGCATGCCTCAGATTTTAATCGACTTTGAACAGTTGCTAGGAGAACTTGGTAAACCTAACAGCTAAAAGAAAGCAAGACTTGAGGACAGTGAGGAGCAGGTTTCTCCCTGCCTCCCAGTTCACCCCCACAAGCTAACGTGTCATAATTGGTCTCTCTCTATTTAATCAGCCTGCGATTTTCAACTCCCCAAAGCCCACCCTGATCCCCAATATCTAACAGTGGCTTCTGGAACACACAAAACCTCAACCTCTGCTACTGGTAGAACAAATTGCATTCATAGTTTACCATTGCCAGAAGATTTTAAATGTAAAATATCCCTTGAATACAAGAGGTATTCACCATGGTTATTTCCCTTACATCTGTCATTCAGTTTTGGCGGAACATGCTCAATGAACTGAGCTGTAATCATAGTAAGGATTGGAAAATTGCTTAAGTGCCACTCAAAAGTCAAAAGGACGGGAGGCAAAAAGGTCGATTAGACTGACATCTAATTGTTGGCAATATTATTGGAATCAATTATTAAGGAAGTAACAGCAGAACATTTGAAAATTCATAATCTAATCAAGCGGAATCAACATGGCTTCATGAAAGGGAAACTGTATCTTACTAATTTACTGGAGTTTTTCAAGGAAATCTCAACCAGAGTAGATTGAGGGGAACCAGTAGATGTGTTGCATTTGGGCTTCCAGAAGGCATTTGTCAAGGTATTCACACAAGATTAAATCTTTAGACAAAAACCTACGGTGTTGGAAGTAATGTATTGGCATGGATAGAAAATTGGCTCATGGGCAGGAAACAGGTTGGCAACCTGTGACCAGTGGGATTCCACAGAGATCAGTTCTGTTTACAATGTATATCAATGATTTGGAGGAAGGAAATCAATGTACTCTAGCCAAATTTGCAGATGACACTAATATTAGGTGGGAAGGCAGGTTGTGAGATACAACCAGTTTACAAACAGTTTACAGAGAGATATTGACAGGTTAAAGAAGTGGGCAAAAAGTTGGTAAATGGAGTATAATGTGGGAAAATACAAAGTTATTCATTTTGGAAGGGAGAACAAAACAACAGAATATTACCTAAATGGAGAGAAACTGCAGAAAGCTGCAACACAAAGGGGCTTACGATACTTGTTCATGAAACACAGAAAGCCAGCACACAGGTGCAACAGGCAATCAGGAAGGCTAAAGGAATGTTGACTCTTATGTTGGAGTATAAGAGTAGGGTAGTCTTACTGCAACTGTACAAAGTGCTGGTGAGACCACGTCTGGCGTACTGTGTGCAGTTTTGGTCCCCTTATGTAAGGAAATACATCATTTCATTGGAGGCAGTTCAGAGAAGGCTCATAAGGATGATCCCTAGTATGGAGGGATTGTCTTACGAACAAAAGCTAAACAGGTTAGAGCTCGCTGGAGTTTAGAAGAATGAGAGATGATCTCATTGAAACAGATAGGAT